CGTCTCCGTGGTGGTATGCAGATCTTTGTCAAAACTCTCACAGGCAAGACCATCACCCTGGAGGTAGAGCCCTCAGATACCATTGAAAATGTGAAGGCCAAGATCCAAGACAAAGAAGGCATTCCCCCAGATCAGCAGCGTTTGATCTTTGCTGGGAAGCAGTTGGAAGATGGTCGCACCTTGAGCGACTACAACATTCAGAAAGAGTCCACTCTCCATCTTGTGCTGCGTCTCCGTGGTGGCCAGTAATTTTCAGTTGACCAAAACTTGTTTGCTGGCAAGATCAAAAGCATTTCAGTAATTTATCATAAGAACTGTCTTAATTACTCAAATAACAGCTTTCCTGTGATTTTTATTTTGGCTATTTTTCTCCTATCAATGTCTGAAATTTCCTTTTTTTATGAAAGTTCAATCTGAAAGTTTATGAAAGTGAAGTCTCACTGTTAAGGAACGCAGTTTTATCCCAGGACACACGAACTCTTAAAATAGAGGTGTAAAGTTGGTGTCTCGAATTGGACTGTAAAATGACAATACATGCTCTGTGGAGCGGTGTAGTAATTGGCTATCACCTGTTCTCACAAGAAATAAAAAACTGTCCCGTTTTAATTTGAGGTAGTTAATTCTCTGATGGATATCTGAAAAATAAACTTGATTGCATTTTAACTTGTCTTTTCATTCTCAAGTTCCATATAGTTTTGTTCTTGCAATCGCATAAATGCTATTAGTACCTTTGATATCTGCAACACAACTTGAGATTTTTCATGTCCACAAAATGGTATAATTTAAATGTGGTGGTGATCAAGCTTTTTAGCAATTAGTAATACTGCATCAAAATTAACCAAAACCCATATTTGGCTCTCATTTTCTGTTCGCTTTTCTAAGACCCCATCCCCACAGACTTAAGATTTATCTATCCCCATGGGGAGTCTCACTAAATTACTGTCAGCTTAGCCGGCTTAAGCGTCTGTCCCGCCTACTAAGAGTTGTTAGTGGGTAATTAACTACCGTGCACGCTCAGCTGACATCAGTTTAGCGTGAACCCCCAGGGAGTTGGGTCGAACTAGATGGATCTATCTAAATCCATGGGAATGCACTCTAACACCCCATTTCCATAGATGTTTAGATCGATCTATCCCTGTGGGGAGTCACTAGATTACTGTCAGCTTGGCCGGCTTAGGCGTCTGTCCCGCCTACTAAAAGCTGTAAGAGGGCAATTAACTATGGTGCCCGCTCGGCTGACTGCAATTTAGCGTGAACCCCCAGGGAGTTAGGTCGATCTAAATCTTAATCTTTAGATCGATCTAAATCTCTGGGAAAGCACCCTAAGACCCCATTCCCACAGATTCTAGATTGATCTATCCCTGTGGGGAGTCTCCATAGATTACTGTCAGCTTAGCCGGCTGAAGCGTCTGTCCCGCCTACCATAAGCTGTAAGGGGGTAATTAACTATTTGGTGCGCGCTCGGCTGACTGTGAACCCCCAGGGAGTTAGGTCTTTCTAAATCTCTGGGAATGTACCCTTAAAGAAACATTCCCACAGATTTTAGATGGATCTATCCCCATGGGGAGTCCCACTAGATTGCTGTCAGCTTAGCCGGCTTAAATGTCTGTTCCCCCTACTAAAAGCTGTAAGTAATTTTTGTGTTTGCTCGGCTGACAGCAATTTAGCGTGAACCCCCAGGGAGTTACGTCGATCCAGATGGATCGATCTAAATGTGTGGGAACCCAGTCTAAGATGCTCTAAAGCCGGGGTAGGAATTGGAAACTGATGCAAGCCCCTCAACATTGTGGTCAGAATTCACTTTTAAAAACCAGAATCTTGTTACTTCACAATTAACTATACTGTCTTAGAATTACCCCTTGTGTCTTTTTGGTCAGGTCCGTAAGAAAAGTCAGTCTGGTAACTAGACCTGTAGATGAATCTAAGAGTGAGGAAACGTCCACATATAATTATATTTTTCCAGATTCGCGCAATAAAATGCCCCCCCCTAAATTTATAATAAACACGGTGCAATGTTAGCAGCAACACAAGATACAAATTTTTTTCCTGGTTACAAATACGCGTTTAACTATTTTAATAATTAATAAGAAAAAAAAAATATTTCGGGTTCTATAAAATAATCAAATGGCCACTTCAGACCACTAAATTCACACACACTGGTAATAAAACAAAGGAATATCAAAGAATTACCTTTCGTTTATTTTTTCTCTCTCTCATTCTTTTTTCCTTTTATTCCGGACTTCGTTAACTTGATGGACATCAGACATTTGTAGAAGGTGGAGTTCTAAAGCCCGATTTGAGTTACTATAATTAATTTAATGAATTTTATTAATTTTTGCATGTGGATAGCATTTGAGTTGCGTAAAATAACCTGGTAATAGTAATTTGCCTGCATTACATGGAATATACATATCTGCACTGTCGCGTTTCAACATTCTCTTAGAATGTAGGCCTACATGTAGTCTACCTGCACGAGCTTAAATTGATCGTTGCCCCCTTAACAAATAGAATATAGGCTCTACCCTATATATCAAGCCTCTTTCAGTTACCTGGAAAAAGATATAAACCCGTCCACGCTGAGTATTATTATTTGGATTATTTGACGTTTTATTAACCAACATTTGATGTCACTTTTTTCTTAGCTGCTTGGTGCCCTAGAATCAATGGTTTCCTTTGCCTTCCATGACCATTGTTTTTTATAGATTGCATAATGTCTCATGAAATATTTGATGGATCATTGCAAATAATTCAAGTTTAGATACGAAGAAAGTGATAAATATTGTAATGCTTTAAAATTCGCGTTATTCCAACGCGGTCAGTTAGAAGAGCCACTGGTCTGGTAGGTGGATTGTGGTCTCATGAAGAGCTACTTCCGCTCTGAGCTGAGTGTATATCTCAAGGTCAGAGGTTATTGTCGTACGTACAGCGTGGTGTAGGTAAATGAACATAGAAATGAGAGAGAAAGCACGCGTATAATATACGATCTGTGGTACTGAGATGGCAAATCCGACTCTCAAAAGATGCCTTCACATGCTGAAATCGGCAAAATCGGACAATGACAGGTTTGCTGCTCTTTTAATGGTAAGTTGAACCTAGGTTGACCTGTATAAATTACTGCATTTCATGTTTACAAATATCTATATTCGACATTTGAAATTGATTTTGAAATTGCCCGACTCAACCATATCATAATCTTAACAAACATTTGAGAGAGTCTTTCTATATATGTACTCATTGGAAGGAATAGGTCAAGATAAGAAACAGTGTTTTGCTTAAAAAAGTTTTCTTTCACCCCAGGTCTGTTTTCTGGTTTTTAACTAAAACAAAAATAAAAATGATGTATTAAGACTGAACATCACAGACAATATTTAATGCACACAAAGCATTTTCATGATTTGGCGTCAAGTAAATAACAACACCATATCACTTGAAGGTTACTAAAGTGGTCCGTGCTGAGGAATGTGGTCCTGATGACAGACACCAGCTCTTTGAGGCCGTGGGTTTCAAGTTTATAAACAGGCTTCTAAAAACAAGTAGGGAAGAAACCATACATAAATCTTAACTGTCAGAGCTCATTGTAAACCAGTTGTATTTACAGTTATACAATGTGCAATACGGATGAAATTTTTCTTTGCTTCTAAATTTTGTGAGATAAGTATAAAATGATAAAAACATTTAAATAGTCTGTCAATGCATTTTGCTAAATTATAATTGTTTGACATAATAGCAAAGTTTGTGTTTGAACTGTATAAAATTGATTTCCAATTCAACAAAAATTCCTTTGCAGAGAAATGTCCAGAAGATTGCCCTGAGAAAATGTTCAAGTCCCTGGGAGTGACAGTGCTATCATGTTTCTGCACAGATCCCGCAATGGTAGGTTTGTGTTTGTGTGTATGTGTACCCAGTCTTTTTGCACAGATCCCACAATGGTATGAGTGTTTTTGTTTTTGTGTTTTGTGTGAACCGAATCTTCTGGAACTCTTTGTATCACACCAGTTTTNTTTTGTCCCTTTAACTATGGTGCGCGCTCGGCTGACTGTGAACCCACAGGGAGTAAGGTCTTTCTAAATCTATGGGAATGCACCCTTAAAGAAACATTCCCACAGATTTTAGATGGATCTATCCCCATGGGGAGTCACACTAGATTGCTGTCAGCTTAGCCGGCTTAAATGTCTGTCCCCCTACTAAAAGCTGTAAGTAAATTTCGTGCTTGCTCGGCTGACAGCAATTTAGCGTGAACCCCCAGGGAGTTACGTCGATCCAGATGGATCGATCTAAATGTGTGGGAACCCAGTCTAAGATGCTCTAAAACCGGGGTAGGAATTGGAAACTGATGCAAGCCCCTCAACATTCAGAATTCACTTTTAAAAACCAGAATCTTGTTACTTCACAATTAACTATACTGTCTTAGAATTACCCCTTGTGTCTTTTTGGTCAGGTCCATAAGAAAAGTCAGTCTGGTAACTAGACCTGTAGATGAATCTAAGAGTGAGGAAACGTCCACATATAATTATATTTTTCCAGATTCGCGCAATAAAATGGCCCCCTAAATTTATAATAAACACGGTGCAATGTTAGCAGCAACACAAGATACAAATTTTTTTCCTGGTTACAAATACGCGTTTAACTATTTTAATAATTAATAAAAAAAAAAAAATATATATATATATATATATATATATATATATATATATATATATATATATATATATATATATATATATATATATATATATTTCGGGTTCTATAAAAAAATCAAATGGCCACTTCAGACCACTTTATTCACACACACTGGTAATAAAACAAAGGAATATCAAAGAATTACCTTTCGTTTCTTTTTTTCTCTCTCTCTTTCTTTTTTCCTTTTATTCTGCACTTTGTTAACTTGATGGACATCAGACATTTGTAGAAGGTGGAGTTCTAAAGCCCGATTTGAGTTACTATAATTAATTTAATTTATTTTATTAATTTTTGCATGTGGATAGCATTTGAGTTGCGTAAAATAACCTGGTAATAGTAATTTGCCTGCATTACATGGAATATACATATCAGCACTGTCGCGTTTCAACATTCTCTTAGAAGGTAGGCCCACATGTTGTCTACCTGCACGAGCTTAAATTGATCGTTGCCCCCTTAACAAATAGAATATAGGTTCTACCCTATATATCAAGCAACTTTCAGTTACCTGGGAAAAGATATAAACCCGTCCACGCTGAGTATTATTATTTGGATTATTTGACGTTTTATTAACCAACATTTGATGTCACTTTTTTCTTAGCTGCTTGGTGCCCTAGAATCATTGGTTTCCTTTGCCTTCCATGACCATTGTTTTTTATAGATTGCATAATGTCTCATGAAATATTTGATGGATCATTGCAAATAATTCAAGTTTAAAGTGATGAATATTGTAATGCTTTAAAATTCGCGTTATTCCAACGCGGTCAGTTAGAAGAGCCACTGGTCTGGTAGGTGGATTGTGGTCTCATGAAGCGCTACTTCCGCTCTGAGCTGAGTGTATATCTCAAGGTCAGAGGTTATTGTCGTACGTACAGCGTGGTGTAGGTAAATGAACATAGAAATGAGAGAGAAAGCACGTGTATAATATACGATCTGTGGTACTGAGATGGCAAATCCGACTCTCAAAAGATGCCTTCACATGCTGAAATCGGCAAAATCGGACAATGACAGGTTTGCTGCTCTTTTAATGGTAAGTTGAACCTAGGTTGACCTGTATAAATTACTGCATTTCATGTTTACAAATATCAATATTCGACATTTGAAATTGAATTTGAAATTGCCCGACTCAACCATATCATAATCTTAACAAACATTTGAGAGAGTCTTTCTATATATGTACTCATTGGAAGGAATAGGTCAAGATAAGAAACAGTGTTTTGCTTAAAAAAGTTTTCTTTCACCCCAGGTCTGTTTTCTGGTTTTTAACTAAAACAAAAATAAAAATGATGTATTAAGACTGAATATCACAGACAATATTTAATGCACACAAAGCATTTTCATGATTTGGCGTCAAGTAAATAACAACACCATATCACTTGAAGGTTACTAAAGTGGTCCGTGCTGAGGAATGTGGTCCTGATGACAGACACCAGCTCTTTGAGGCCGTGGGTTTCAAGTTTATAAACAGGCTTCTAAAAACAAGTAGGGAAGAAACCATACATAAATCTTAACTGTCAGAGCTCATTGTAAACCAGTTGTATTTACAGTTATACAATGTGCAATACGAATGAAATTTTTCTTTGCTTCTAAATTTTGTGAGATAAGTATAAAATGATAAAAACATTTAAATACTCTGTCAATGCATTTTGCTAAATTATAATTGTTTGACATAATAGCAAAGTTTGTGTTTGAACTGTATAAAATTGATTTCCAATTCAACAAAAATTCCTTTGCAGAGAAATGTCCAGAAGATTGCCCTGAGAAAATGTTCAAGTCCCTGGGAGTGACAGTGCTATCATGTTTCTGCACAGATCCCGCAATGGTAGGTTTGTGTTTGTGTGTATGTGTATACCCAGTCTTTTTGCACAGATCCCACAATGGTATGAGTGTTTTTGTTTTTGTGTTTTGTGTGAACCGAATCTTCTGGAACTCTTTGTATCACACCAGATTTAAAATGTGGCATATATCAGGGGCGGATTTAGGCAGTCTTCTGGGTCTTCCCAAAGACGGTCAGATTTTCAAGTTTACATTGATTGGTTATGTAATTTTTTCTGTCGGAAGACGGTCAAAAATGGTGGATGGATCAACAAAGATAATTTGGAAGACTGTCAGAAAATATCTCTGGATCTGCCCCTGTATATAGTGAATTGTTGAAAGATCCATCTCTTTTGTGTTGAATGATAATAAGATGGATTAATTTGTATGCAGTTTAGTTGTCATTCAAAATATGGGACATCTGCTGAAACTGCATGGCTGTCCAAATGACATGAGGGCGACTTTATGGGGAAAGCTATGTTTTTATAACAAAATCTAAACACAGGAAGATAACGTATTGTTCTGAGCGCCTAGTCCCTTTAGTATTTTGAAAACTCATCTTAAAACTTATAACAATGTTTGGCTTGGTTAAGATATATTTTGAGTGATCTAAAAACTACTTAAAATATTTGTGGAATTACAGAATATGTATCTCTGTCTCTCCAAATATTTGAATAAGAATAAAAAAAAAAACAGTTATTTGTTTCATTGCAGGTAACTCATCCTCAGATGTTGGTCAATTTACCAGTTTTCTGTGATCTGATATGTGTGTCAGAACCTGAAGATGAAACTGATAAGGGCATTGTAGACAGTTGTTATGAGTGCTTAACTGCCATTGTGTTGACACCAGAGGGCAGAAGTATAACTGGACAAGGCGAAACGGTTCCCAAGTTGTGCAGTGCAATTGTAAATGGCTGTTATGGTAAGGCTAGTTTACAAAGAAGTGTTGTTCTAGTAACAAATTTTCCTATTATGTTGTCACTGGATATTCTGCTTTGTTTGTATGAATGCGATATTGTTTACCTAGATTGTGAAACAGAACACCTTTACCATGCACAAAAACTAAGCACTCTAATTGTTACATGTGATGTTTTAAATATTGGGCAGTAGTACAACATTATCTTAAATGAAAACTTGGTATTGCTGGGTGCTTATTATCAAGTTCAGTCTATTTTTAGTAAAACCAAAGAGTTGATGCAGATGCGTTAAATCCACTGTGACTGTATGAAATGTAGTAGTATATATATGTATCTTTTTAATGGTTCATTATATTTCAGGTGCTGAGAAGGCCTTTAACATCCTCCTGAATCTTCTGCACCATGATGGCTACAGGGTTTGGCAAAGGAACATGGACAGTATGATGCAACTTCTGGAACACTCAGTCAAGGAATTTGTCAGGGAAAAGGTCAGTCAGATGTTATAGTAAGATGCTGATTGACCTGTAGATGAATATTTGGGTAATTTCTCCAAGAAAGTAAACATAAAAGCACTACTAGTAAGTGCTACCTGTTGTTTATTTCTATCTTTACTTTACAGGACAGTAAGAAGTTTGAATGGTGTGAACATTTATATGCATTGGTGTCTACTTCAGGAAAGGTGAGTTGGTTTGAGACTAACACCATAATGGCAGTCTTTTGTTTTGGATTTTTTTCTAAATAGCTAGAATTCATCCTCTAAGGTTGTTGTAAGATATATGTGATTAAAAGTTGTTTGTTGATTGTTTCAAATGAAAATATATATTTATGACTTGATTATAGCACATTGCACAGTTGTATGTTTTTGTTTTCAACACCTCTGTAATTTTTCTGCTGATAAAATGTTTTCCCTTCAACTGTATTCTTGATTTATTTATAAGGGTACTTTAAACTCTGGAAAATGGAGTGCAGCCATTTTGGAAGAGTTATCAAACATTTTGCAGAGTAAGATTGGTAAGAGCTTGAAAAAGCATTTTATGACAAATGCATGGTTCAATTTATGGGAGAAAAAAGATGCTTACAGAAGTTTTAATGATCCAATTTTTTCCATATGATGTGCTAACAAGCTTTGTATCCCAGCTTATCTTATTTTATCATATTAATTTGATGCAATACCTGTTTTTAACATTGCTATATATATATTTTCCATTTCTGTCCTTAGGTCAGCCTCAGAGAGAACCAGCATTAAAGTTGTCCTCTGTGATGGTAGACACTCTTGGAGTTCCTTGGGCTCTACAGCTTTCGCAGAGAGAGCGTGGAAGAAAATTTCTTCTAGTCTTGATCCATCTTATCTGCATAGAGGTTAGAATGGGATTAGAAAACCAGAGCTTAGAAAAGGTAAAACATGATAAGTATTCTTGTAGTCCAGAATCGTTTTTTTTTTCCCAAGGTATTGGATAATTCCAAATTTTATTTTTTTCTTTCATTCTTTTTTTTTTCAGGGATTAAAACATGAGTTTACTTTTGTGTTAGACAAGGAATTGAACAGATAACTATCCTAATGTATTTTCTCATTGTTTATGGAAGTTGAATTGGACTTTTTGTGATATTTCATTTCCTTTATAGATTTTTAAAGTTCAATACTCAAATTTCACAAAGCTCTTGAAACTATTACTCCTTCAGATTGAAGAAAAGCCTATGATTTAACCTCTATCACACTGCTGTATGTTTTTGATACTGATGCAATTGAAACAAAGTGGATGATATCACAGGGTTAATGAAATCATTATCTTTTTGTAGGTTGAAGAAAAATCAGAGCTTCTTACCTATTGTTACATGCTACTAGAGCATATTATCAGTTATATGATAGAGGGTCCTTCATTAGAGTGGGAGGAGACCCAGATCAAACAGGTGCACTCTGCCCTTGTGGGGGCCTTCAATGCAGTTATATTCTACATTCAAGAGATGTCTTCTCAAGGAATAGATAAGGTATGATTATTCTCGGTGGCAATGAATTGTGGCCTGCTTTTGTCAAATGTGAACATGTTTTTTGTTTACAATTTTTATGATGGAATAGTTGAGATCATAGCTTCACATTCTATATAATGAGAATATACAGATAATACAGGAAAAACAGACCAATTCATTTATTTGTCTCCACCATTCCTAGAAATTCACAACCCATACATAACAATAGAAAAAAAATAGCAGATGGTGACTGACACCTGGCCTATTAATGGACCAATATTAATAGCAACCCTGAGTGATATATGTGATAATGGATTTTGAACTGCTGCAAATGTTTTTGTAGCCAGCTGTGCCATTGGTATATGCCTCAGTGAGAGTGCTGGGGGCCTGGTTGGCGGAGGAGACCTCTGCACTGAGGAAGGATGTCTACAACTTACTGCCTTATTTGATAACTGTCAGGTTTGTGCTTAGATAGATGGGTCTCTGATCTTAGTTTTTGCTGACATTCAAAAAGTTATTTTTCTCAACAGCCTGTAGTTTTGGCAAAGTTTATTGCTAGGATTTGCTCACATTGATTTGCTCAAATTGACATTAAATAATTATGGTCTATTTTGAAAGCACAATCAAGTTTTAAAGTGTTTTACCAGTTGACAGTGGTAGGTGAAAAAATTGAAAAATAATTATCTCTAAACATGTCTAAACTTTTCTTTCAGTTGGCAGTCTTTTAATATAATTAAAGATCAATCAGCACGAATGAAGACATTTAGTAATCATGGCATCAAAAACAACACAGAAGGTTCTAGCAAGGCAAACATTACAGACAGTGAAAATACCAGTAGTGTTGAAGAACCAATGGAAGTGGAATCTCCGGAATTGCAGGACTCCAAGACATCTCAAAAATCAGAACTAACAGATACATGTAGCCTGCAGCCTTACAATAGCACATGCTCTTTCTCAGAAAATATTGACTTGTTGAGATTTTTATTGCCATGTTTATGTCATTTGACTGCAGAGGATGATCCTAGAAAAATGATTATAGACCATGATGGACATGTTCTGTTAGCAGAATATCTGAATTTCCAGTGGACAAAGTTTATTTCTGGGACTGACAGAGATGCAGAGGTGGGTTTTTGGTAAAACCCGAGTGCCTGAAAATCTGTGTAATCCTTGACATGTTCAATCTCCCACTTAATATAAAGCTTGGCCAGTGAAATTCTGTAAATTTGTTCAGTAACTGTTTCTGCTTTTAGCCAGCTAATACTTTAGCCTGTTTAACTGATGGACTATATGGCTAATTAGGTTTCATAAGAGATGGGATGTTATGATTTGATGTGTGTGTCATTGTGTTCCCTATATGGTATCTTTAAGACACATTTAGAACCTCCATTATTGATTATTTATAAGTAAATTAACCCTTTGTTGTTGTTTGTCATAGCATTGTTATTATACTGAAGAAAGCATGTAAAAATGTTTCAAGGAAAATGTAGTGGAGTATACATTTGATAGACACCTTTTCATCTACATGATTGCATTTGAAACAGATTTTAATCTTAAAAGAACATTAGCATAACTGGATATGTTTAACAGATAAGTGACCCTGTCTTTTTTATATTTTTGAGATGATTTTTTTTCCATTGCAGGTAGCACTGGCCACTCTTTGTGGAATATTCCTCAATATTACAGTGACGGAGCCCATATTAGCAACTGAACATTCTGTCTTTAGAGAAATTTCACAATTCATTGTAACCAACTTGCCAACACTTGGTAGGTAAAACTTGAAAGTGTTTGTACATGTTGTTTTGCTGTAATTTGACAAATATGTATTTTTCTTTAAGTCTGATGTTTAAAAAAATCATTGAAGTATATTTTACGATAATGTTGTGTTCAGTTATGTTTTTTTTTGTGTGTGTGTGCGTCTTTGATTGTCAATTTGAGTAGAGTCCAATTGCTGTTCTGTTTCAGTGTCTGAACACAAGAAGTATGTAGTTCTCATGGCTAATGTTGATGTTCTTGGACTTATGCTGCTCAAACATCAGGCAAAGCTCACAGATCAGCAGGAGTCAGAATTGAAAAAATTCTTCACTGCATCTTTGAAACTTCTGGGCAGCTCACACACACATAAAGGAACCAAAGGGGGAAAGTATGTGATGATGCTGAGTCAAGATTTTATGAAGGATTGGGATCAAATATCAGAGCTGTGGTTTCTAGGAATGCAAGGTATGAATGAACTAGAAAATAATCAATTACTGGGGACAAGCTAGTATATATGAGACTTCTGTGCATAAACTTTGGTTACCGGCAATAATTGCTTAATTTCTTATTAGAGATTTACATTAATACCATGGCCATGGTGGTTAAACAGAATGAAATCAAGGCAAGTCTGGAGAGAAGGATATGGATTTTTTTTTCAAAATAATTAAAATAACATCTTGAAATATCATTTAAATTTGCACGTTAATGTAAATGTCAAAATGCACTGCAGTTAAAAAATTATAACTCTGCTGATTTAATTTTTAGTGCTGGGAGCCTGTCTTTCACTGTATCCATGGTTACCTGGTGTGGTTGTAAACAGTGGGTGGCTGCAATCTGTGATGAATCTTTTATCCAGTTGTCAAGGTAACATTAAATTAGTTTTAAAAATAATTTCCTTAAAAAATCTTTAATATATATTCATTTGGTAATAGTTTAGTTAGACAAATCACTGTGAATGACTGTGACCAAAAATTGATTTAAGTTACCCCAAGATTTGAGTTGGATGATGTTCATGCTAATTTCAGTTAATGCTAGTTCAAACCTGTTCTGTGAGATTTGTAGGAAATAATGAACAATTGACAGAGTTAAAAGGTGAAGAGTTATGCTATAAACCATATATTTTTTCATTTCATTTCATATCAGGTCATGACCATGAGGTGGTGATGGCCTATGGATCTTTCCTCACTGAACTGGTGAGAGTAGACCACAAAACCAGGGACTCTATTCTGGGACTGAATGGTGAAGAAGTGGCGAGGTAAATAATCTTAATTGTTCCTGTGATCACATGTTATTTCTCCTTCTATTAGTTAATGTTTTGATTTATGCATTATGTTTGCCATTGCAAATTTTCCTTTTTAAGAATGGCAAGAGTTTGACTTTTTCAAAAGGTACATTAGAAGCATTTTGCTTACGTAATAGAAATTGTCAGAAATTCACTTTTTCAAGGGGTATATATATTGGGAAAATTAATTCATAAGAGAGTAATCGAGAATAAAAAAGTTCAATTTGATAACAGGATTATATCGCAATTAAGGTATTTTAGTGCATATAAATCATGTATGTATGCAAACTGTGTATTCATTATAATCTGCTGATTCATTGGTAATGGAAGGAATCACAGATAATATTTTCATTACAGAAAATATGGCATGGTGGACCTGGCAGACGTTCTTAAGTCTTGAACCAGTGATAGGGGCATGGATGGCTATTTAACTATGTAAAAGCATCAACAGAAGTGCCAAGCATCTATTCACTGATTAAGATAAAATAATCGCAGGTAGCAGTGCTTCTTCATGGATGCGTTTGGTGTCTTGAGAACTGGTGACACCTTCAGAGAGACATTGCCTTTTAGCCCAGTAGTTAAGCATACTGTCAGTGACTGCAATACAGGCATTTCTTGAGGTATGCAGTTTACTCACTCATGTGTCATGGTTTTGCTATAGCCATTTCCTCTGACAACATTGTGCAAATGCGTACCAAAAATGTCTGAGGCAATCATAATCACGATGTGCTCGTTCTATGGTCTGGTGAAGTGGAGGGACTGCATGTGCGTCATTTCCGTTCAAATTGGCCGGATTCTAGCAGACGACCAGATGCACAGTTCACAACAGCAGCAGCAGCAGAGTGAACTCTTGGCTTGTAACTAGTTCTTTGTCCTATTTGAATGACATTTAGAATTTACGTGAGCAGAGATGTTAGGATCTATGCCTGGAAGGTGAAGGCAGGGGAGGCAGTTGTGCCCCAGTTGTGTGGCAGTTTGAGGTTTCTGAAAAGTATTTTTAATCCAAACAAAATGTTAGCCTTTTCTTGCTCCCAGGCCATCAAGTCTCTTATTTTTTCTTCAGTAAGCACCTAGACTAGGCGTTATAGATAGGTCTTCAATAGCTGCCTCCCCCCCCCATTATTCGATATATAACTTTTCTTAGGTCTGCAAAACAACATATTAACCTTAGAGAAAGTCTATAATTGTACATTGTGGATTGACCCCAGATTACAAAACGAAAAGAGCCTGTACAATTTGTAATTAAAATGTCACTTCGTCATGTATAACATGTTTGGAATAAAAATGAACTAGCAGGTTTAGATGTGATTTTTTAAACAGACTTAAGCGTGAGAGAAAGAGAGAGAGAAAGAGAGAGATTCTGATATGGATTATCTTGAAATACTGAAAAACATGGCAACGCGTGTTATTGTCTCCATAATGTATCGTCAAACGTAGACAAGTGTTCCTTTCTTTTAATATATCAGGCATATTTATTTGATTTCTAAATATAAACATCATCTGCTGATAGACATAAAACAATTATGGACGCTCGCTCTATTTAAAAGTTATAGGCTTTTATGGTAGTTTGATATTTTTACTAAAGTCTATAAAGCATATCGTTGAAGTATTGGTATTACTTCTTTGAAGCACATCACAATAAATGTGGCAAATGATTGTTCGACTATTATATTTATTAAATGCCATCCTGGCTTTGATAGCTTAATGAACATGCTATACTATTTCAAACTTGAATTGTTATCTCAGTAAAAGCCTTGAAAATTCAAATGCGCCTACAAGTTATACAACATATACCGGCAAAAGCAAGTACGTAACTTTCTAAAACAACATTTCATTAAAATTGCTACAGATAACAACAGTTACAGTCAACCTGCTTGGAAAATACAATTCGAGACGGAGGCACTTATTCTACCTGTGATTAATATATCAGCACAACCAAAATTGTTCTTTCAACATTGGCACGACTTAAAATATAATTTTCAAGTTTGCAGTGTACATGTCCACACCCTACAAAAGCTGAGCTATAAATGTGCTCGCATTGCTCCATCAAAATTCTTTGAACGTCGTTCAAGTGAAGAGATTGTTAAACATAAAATAATGACAAAAGCACACATAAAAAAATATAAAAAATGATAAACATAGGTTATAGAGACGGAGATCTTCGTCACTGCTGCGCTCGCGTCTTGTCTATTTCTTCATATCTAACCATCCTGCATAACTGAACATACCCAAGGCTCTCTCAAACGCACCCACAGAGCATTTGTATGTGTATGCCCATATTGCAGGAGACTTTCCTTTTGCAGACACTCTGTGTGGACCAGAAGATGGTAGGGTGATCTTGCTGCCGGGCTCCAGCGTTCTGGTTTCTTTTTCCAATTCTAGGTTGACTTTTCCCGCCGTTGCCGTCAACAGAACGTCTATTTTACCCGATACCGTGGCTATGTAGACACTGCAGTCTTCGCGGTTCAGGTAGGCTTCGAAAAACTGAAAGGATCGAAGGCAATACCATAATAAACCACGATAGATATTGTAAATAATGTATATGTTGAAAGGCAAGCCAATTAGTTCCGTTTAGTTGCTTGAAACGAAGACGAATTTTAATTTCATGTTTTGAAGCTATAACAGGACAGTAAAAGTCGTATTTAAGCAAAGACCATGTTAGTTTGGTATAATATTATCTATCTTTGAAGTGCGATGTACTTGACGTGGACCGATACAACAGTCGCAAAGTTTTGCTTTATTTATTATTTTTGTCTGGTGGCCGGGTGCTCGAAACACCGAACTAATGTGAACAATATCCAAAATTATGAAATTTACCTCCCCTGGGTTAGCAATGAAGAAAGCTGTATTAAATCCCTTCTTAGCAACCGTTTCGACGTACTCTCGCAGCTCTGGAAAGTCCAGCTCGTGGTCCGAGTGCTTTGGGAGGAGCCAGGTGGCGTGAAACGCATCTGGATCGACTTTGGTGAGGTCGGTCTCTGGATCAATCCATCTCTGAAATGGTCTGTAATAAAAATACAAAGATAAATATGGACTTATACATGAATGAGTAATTGAAATAAAAAAGATTGAATACAGAAGTAAACAAAACCTATTTTTATCTATCAGGTTCCGAGGAGAGTCCAACCAAACTTTTTCGGTTTATGTTATTGGCTTTTTGTCTGTGAAAAAAAAAAAAAAAAAAAAAAACAGAGAGAGGATCTCTCCAGTGACCACCTTTTTTCCTACCTGCCATTAAGTGATCTCCACATGTCGATATGGACGCCAAAAGTACCGGGTTTCAAATTGGTGTCTTTACCAGGACGCTGCTTGATGTGGTCTACTAATTGCAGGATAAGTTCAGCGTCCGTCAACATCATTTTTACTTGACGATCCGTTAAACGTAACTGGAAAACGGGAGGATGACTTTTAATCTAATTATTGTCTTTGAAAATGATTTAGCAGCAATTATAAGTACCACAGTTGTTTCAAGGCCACATACAAGTCAACTACATGAATGGTCATAAGATGTTAGAAATTTCGTCGGTGCATCGAAACACAGTCAAGGACAATATGTAAGGGGATACCCTACAATGGCATATGTTTTAAGATATTAGCATCGGCATGTACAAAAAAATTACTTTCTCAAAAACAGGGCGTGTCAGTCATTTGTAATTCTAAGATTTTACAGTCATACCTGATATGGGTCATAACGAAGGCCGCTAGAGCCATCTTTCGGTTTCAAGACAACATTCATCAGCATGTCTTCCTCATTGACAACCCTCCTCCAGCTGAACTGGTGGCCCTCGTTTGTCCAGCTTACGTCACCAGGATAGACAAGATGGCGGAGGGGGACTGTTACTTGCAATAAACAATACAAAATTAAGAACAATTTCACCAACTTTGACACTGGCGCATAACTGACGTAGGTGGTACTGACGTAGACATGCTGGTATCCTTTCCATTTGTATGTAAGAGACTTGATGAAATCGGTGAGAGCTTCCGGCTCCAGGAACAGAATATTTGCTGCCATCATCACCGGGCAAGGGTAATGCCCAATTAGAAAGACACGGTTTGCCACGAAGACAAACATGGTGAGAAGGATCCCTGCCAGCCGGGTTCTTGAGTTAAGCAACAGAAACCCAACGGATAGATTGAACATCATGCAAGAAAGACTGAAGCTATGTCCAATAGCGTCGTCCACAATCTCTGACGGGAAAATTAAAGAGTAGATATAATGAGCATTGGCATCTTTTATCAATCTTGACCTCACTGGCTCTCCACGCACAACGGAATCATAATTGATTTTAGCAACTCCTGCGAAAAAATAGCAGATAACGATCTGGAATTGGAAAACTTTTAGCTGCCATTTTGGAATATGTTTCTCCTTTTCTTTCCGATTCGACCCACTGGCAAAGTAGGAATCGAGCGATAAAACAGCATTGCAGTCTGTTACACACATGAGTATTGCTACAAGCGTGTAGAGGTAGTAATTATTGCTGTGTCGGCTTTTCTCCAGGAGGTTGAGATATGTGAAGAGCACCAGAAATAGAAAACACGCTAAGCGATAAAATAATCCAATGCTTATGAGAATTGCCGATGTTGCCACGCCCCAAAACATGTACAACACAATTGCCGGGTCTGGTTTAGGAACTCGACGAGCAAGGAAGTATTTGAAGTTGAGTTCGGGAAAACTGGCGCCAAAATTTTGGTCTATATCACCTGAAATATATAAGTAGTCAGTGAAAGTCAAGTTTGCATTACAAACTGACAAGTTTAGCAGTAACTATACGCTGGGAACACATTATTTGACATTATAAAATTACATTTTGAAAAAAATAATGAATTTACATTAAGATTGATTCCAGTGTCTTGTATTTTCATCTAGTCAATTAGTGGATCTAGGCCTGCTACAGTGCGTAACCATAGCAACATCTTCAGGGCAGTTTGAAACAGCTATTAGACGCACACATCATAAATCTGAACTAGGCTTACATCATTTTGACGTCACGATGAACACCGCCTCAGTTGGCAACAGATTTTTGCGTGCCTTTCAACCCACGCTTAGGTATTTTAAAATGTCTTTTTACGTGTACGCTAAGTGAATACACCTGGTATTGTAGAAATGTTACTGATCCCGGAGAAAAGCAACTATATTGCTAGAGGTGACTTGCTTATTTACAACTGACCTGACTGACTGAGAGTTAATACTATACCTAAAATGAATCATTTCAAAACGTAGTAAAATACAGGGAGCAAAGTGAAAGGAGGTATTTTTTTAATAACCACATGATCACATGCACATCACTATATATTTCTTAACTAAGTCCACCTCATCATTTTTCGAAGACTTTACAAGAAAGGGAAAATGTTGAATATGCTTCAGTAACATTTCAATCAGTTTGGTGTGAAAGTATTTTTAAGAATCCTAACGATTTAGATAAAACAAAACACGAATATAAGACGAAGATAGACAACGCTACGAATTGAAATAAAATTTCCTTTAGACCTCTACTTCACAAGATTTAAACGAAAGCAAATAACAAGAACGGGGATGCCAAAAGGAGAAACACTTTTTGTTCATTTTTGGTTTAAATTAGTTATATATATATATATATATATATATATATATATATATATATATATATATATATATATATACCGATAATTATAAGTGCATATAGGCCTTTTTTTAATTAGTAATTTGTTCAAAAATGCCAAAATGACTTGAGCTTAAAACATTACAACAAGCAAGACAGGTTAGAGGTGGGGATAGCTGAGCCAACGGTTCATTTTATATCTATTTACCAATGTCCTAACTTAACAGGAACTTCTTTGGTCGGTATTTTGTTAATTGGTGTTAAATCAGCCATTACAGTATACTTAGAAAGCAGTCTAAAATTTAGAATTCATATATGACAATCATTATTGCGTTACGGAAGAGGACGCTGCTTGGGACTAACTGGTACTCTGCTGTCTTTCTTCCCTCTTTATCTACCCATATGTGGGATATACGTTTTTATTTACCAAATATGGTAATTATGCAAACTGTCTTCAGCTCATTTTTGACTTTTGTTGTAATTTTATCATGAAGACCACTTCTTACAATTTGAAAAAAGAATACGATGATGATAAATAATAAACCAAGACAAAATTACGAAAAAAAAAAAAAAAAAACTAAAACATTTGAGGTGAGATAAAGAATAGGAGTACGATCATTTTTACTTCATCCCAAGGAGATGGAGTAAATAAAAGACATGCAGAATTAAGCTCATCGCGGGATGACACGCGGTTAGCTGCATGTATTTCCCACTAAAATGATGGATGGTGTAGGTCTACTTATTACATTGACAGATTCCCCTGTCAGAAGTGCACATTAGAATCGATTTTTGTTGTTACGATGATAAGGGCGCCTTTGTCTTTTCTGGCTTTGTGTTCAAAGATAATGAGTCCGCTGACCCAGGGTCTAAATAAAGCTTCAATTCCGGCTCTTCATATCAATGTTTTAACTGGTGGTTAGAAGAGGGCTAACTGAAAACGGACGTGAACCAAAACCGCAATATCAGACGCAAACAGGGCTGATAGGATTGTCTGATAATAAGGGTGTTTTTCAAAATGGCATAGCTTTCTCTACTGCAGATGTTAGATATGTGTGTGAAAAGATCACAACTCTGGGCGACAGCAAAAAAAATTCCTCTGGTGACGCGTTTGACGCCCATTTCCATTTTAATATAGGTGTTGTCTGAATTGGTCTCACTCTGAGTGCAAATCACGTTTACAGCATTGCATTAAGTAAGGTCTTAATTCATCATAAAAAAGACACATATTTACAACTGGGTCTCGCTATAAGTAGTAGAAGGATTATTTTGAAAATACACACATTTCTTTGCTTTGCCTGCATCTAATGATATCATGTTACTCATTACCTTTTTGAACAGTCATGAGCACGTCCCACGCCATGTACGCCCCAAATATAATCCGAAAGACGGCGAGATTGGTGGCATTCACCCTCCAGCCCAGGGCCCAGCGGCTGTGCTGTGGTCCCGTGGTGGCATACGGGCTCTGGTACCTCCTGTATGAGTATTCCTCCCTCTGTTCTCCCAGGCCGCCTCTGCTGTACCCCGACAGGGCGCGGCGGGTAACACCCGCACGACCTCCGTCAAAACGATCGTCTGCGCCATCGGAGCCACAGACAGAGGAAGACGTGATGACGGTCTCCGTTGTTTCGACATCGTCGTCGTCTGCTTTGGCCGTCCGCGAGATCAGTTTCTCCGTCGTGGTGTGTACCACTCTTCTCCTAGTACTGCCGTACTCCGCCATGATGTTTACATGCTAGCCTATATATTAAATTGGCCGTTGGTTCGTTTCAGGCGGCGGCTGCTTGTGGTTTATGGTAATAGGATGATATTAGTTATGATAATGTTGTTCAGTGTGGTGTGAGTGAATCTAGGTTTTATGCTACCGTAATGTAGCAGGTGGGATGTCGTCCAAGGTCAAGCATAAACATTTTACAAGTATGAATTATATATGCTAAATATTAAAATGATACAGGTAACTGTAAAACCCCAAATCAAAATTAAGATAAATGATAACTATTCATTTCATTCATTTTAAAAAGACAAGGGTTTAGAATCTTGGGAATGAAGGATGACCAAAAAGGGCATTTTAAGACAATAGAAATTCGCGTGTCATCAAATCTGTACAGGTCACAGCATAAAATAGAATTGATCGTGAGAAATATTAGGCTAGTGTGATGTGTTGGAGGAACACGATTTTAGATGGCGCATCTAACACAGCCTGCTTTGAGAACCTTTTGCACTCGGTTTTAGTAAAAGAAACTGAAGGATAAGATCAATCTGCACCCCCACCAAGCCCCGAGGAAGGCGTATATTGGGGTGGGGGTGGGGGGTTCATCATGTTTTCAGGCGATTTTGTTTAAACCTTAGGGGAAAAACTGAAAAACATGGGTTACTCAAAGTCATAATGTTTAAGACATAAGCAGGGTTAGGTATGCTTGGTTAACTTCACATCAACAACATACACAGTTAACTTTCAATATATATATTTCGCCTTCTAAAAGAAAAGACATTTAATAAATTGCATGTTCTGCTGCTGAGAAGAAGTGTTTGAACCTTCACAGTATCTGGTTCACGAATATCAAATAAATGCAGTAGTAACGAAAGCACCCACAGGCATAGCAAGGAAGTAGGGAACCACTGAGCTCCCCTAACAATAAAAAATGAAGCACGTTTTAGCCCTCACAACCCCCTATTATCATTATGAAAACATAGATATGTCAATTAAACAACATCACTTCCCCATGGCGATATTGTTGCAGTAAGTTTTGTCCTAAATAACAGGCAAATTAAGAATTGCATTTTGCATCCTTATGTTCGAGTTTTCATAAGTCCCCTTTATCAGGGAATGGGGTTCCTAGCGTAATAGTAGCCCCTACTTGACTTGCTTAGTCACTCAGCCCTACCACTCGCAAAGAAACCGTTACTGCAAGTGCACGTAAACTGAATTGTTGAAATTGAGTTTTTACCAGATATCAGGACAATTTTACTTTAAACAGAAAATCACGCACCGCCTGATTGTGATATCAAATAACAGCAGTATCAAAATTACCGTCACTGCATAAATTAAACTTTAATTTTGATGACTAGATCGTTTAACTCATGCTTGTGTTGATATGAAAAAAGTTTAGATAACAAAATTGACAGATCTTGTACAGTTCCACTGCCCTGTTCACGTAACCATCTGTCATCGTTGTGAAACTCAGAGAAAGACAGCATCACAAAAAAGAAATTTGGTAAATATAAAATCATCATGCTGAACCCAGATGCTTTGTCAGTGAAATCTTGTTGCATAGCATGTTATTGCTGCTATAAATAATCACTGCTTATCCAGTTGGATTTTTAAAACATATAGAAGTGCAAATATATCACATCAATACCACTATTAAAATAATCATAGAAAAATAATGCTCCCGTTTGTGTATACTGAGCCCAATTTGTTACAGCACTGAAAGGAAGATCCAAGTTTTCTCATCAGGGACCCTGTCCCTACTTGAGAATGGCAGTGAGAAAAACTTGAAAGCCCAAAACTTTCCTGTACAAAGAAGTACTGCCCATAGAATTACTAAACTCAATTTACCACCTTTCACTTGAAATCTTGGATCAGCCGGTGAACCTGAACACTAATATGAATCTATCATATATCACATTTAAGCATTAAATGGGCACCTCCAATTTTGTCCTCTAGGTATGTGAACAAATATCCCTCTTTGTGAGTGAACCCCTACTACATGGTAATAAAAATATCTGTATGACCATCATATTTCTCCCACAATTGCTTCCCATGATAAAATATTTAAGTATGAGTGCTTAAGCAGCTAGATAATTCCAGCTGGCTGATTGACCTGAAATACCACTATGATTCATGGTTCTGTAAAGGGGAAAACCCCCGAATTGCTATGAGCTTAATAAAGACAGTTACACTCATGTCATTCTCTCAGCTGTTACTAGTGGATGCCACTGCAGCAGTACTTTCATTTTTGGTTCCAGTGGTATCAAATTCTTTGGGACCTGCAGTAAGCAAAGAACTATCACTGGCAATATTCTCAGCACTACTGGACTCAGTACCATTTTTATCTGAAATCACAGAACTTGCTTTTTCAGGTTGTGGCGTACAGGTATTCTCTCCTGGCTGTGTGGTCACAACTGATGGATTCACTGATACATCAGACTTTCCTGAATCACTTGATTTTGGTTCATTTCCATTGGGTTTATTGTTCTGGTCCTGTGTAACGGGTGTGTTCTGATTAGTAGGCACATCTTTCTGACTACTGGATTTATCATGTTGATTAGTGGGTGTGGTCTCCTTGGAAGTGGGTGTGTCTTGTTTGCTCAAATTAGGGTGTTGTACATGTGTTGGGCTTCTCAATGTCTGACCAGCAGGCACTGCACTAAACATACTCAGAGGAGGAAGGTCTGGTAATGTGGTACTGATTTCCTCTGAACTGAGCTCTGCCAATTCCAGCTTGGCTGTCAGCTCACTCAGTTTTTTGGATTTTCTCATCTCATTCTGGTAGATTAGACTGTATAAATGCTCTGTTAATTGCTCTTTCATTTCAGCTGTCTTGTGGAGATCAACCTTTGCTTCTATAAATTCCCTCTCCAGCCTTTCATATCTTTTCCTAGAAAAGTAAAAAGGCAAATAATTATACCCTACAATTGGATTTTATATGCTTCAACAAAACCTGTTAACTGTTCACAATTAATATCCCATATAAGAAAATGGGTAATTGCAGTTTGATATTTGACCTTTTCAGGAGAAATCGTGAAAAAAAAGGGTAAGCTGAGACTTTAAATACCTTTAAGATAGAAAACTTTTAGTCCCCTAAAACTCAATTGTTTTGTGAGCCATATTTAACTTAACAGAGTAGAAAGCAGTAACAAAATGGATATTTTTCAATGGTGCAGTTGCTTCACCAAAACAGTGAGTTTAGGTGCCTTTTAGATGCAAATCCAAACAACCAGCTCAGATCAGACTTAAACGTAGAAGCTATTTAGTGATATCAGACCTTCATTAGTGGCAGGGATAGGGGGAAAGAGAAACGGGAAAGGGAAGAGAGAAAGAATTTTTTTCTTACTGAGCCTCAGTGTAGTCCCTGCTAGCCTCCTCTATCTTGTCTCTTAGAATGGAGACATCAACTGTCAGTAAGTCATCTAAATGCTTCAGTTCCTTCTCTATTTGTATCAGTTTACTTGCTTCAGCTTTGGCTTTTTGACTCCTACAAGAAAATTACATGGAACATTTTTATTTCTTTAAAATCAGCATGTTTTCCTTTCTTTCAGTTCTGCTGAAGTAAGCAAAATACACATTTGACTTGTAAAAAGAAATGCCTATGTTTTGTCAATTTTCCATGTTCAGTTGTCCAAGTTCATAATTTTATTAACATCAGAAGGGACTACTCAAAGCTTTTTCTGTCCAGCCATATCATCTCTTCAGTGGACAAACAGTCAATATTATAATATCAATGGCAATGCAAACTATTGGGAATGCCGAGCATTAATGTGATGACAATTGTTGGGCTAATTTCTCCTCACATCTATGCACATACCTTTCCTTTATTGCTTGTGCCAGCATTTGCCTTTTCTTTTTGTTGGCTTCCTCAATCATCTTCTGCTGCTTCTGGAATTTTATCATGTTGGACACCTCCAGGCTTAAGGAAAAGGAAAAAGCCATTTTATTCAATGTCAGGGTTGAATATATCACAGTAATTTTACACCTCAAATAGTATCATAAATTTAAGCCCTTTGGGTATTCATTTTATGGAAATATGGATAAAAAAGAAGAAATATCTTGACAACATATGTATCGTTAAGAAGACAAATTGTATGTCAGATTTACTTAAACATCACGGTTTATCACAAAGATGAAAATAATCAAAAAGATACACATACTCTAATATTTCTTTCTCATTCAGATCTGCTTCTTCCACATTAGCATTTTCACTATCTTCTGTCTTCTTAGGTTCTTCTCCATGTCCATTATCACTTTTTGTAAAGTTGGTGGAAGTTTGGTCCTTCCTTTGTTTTTTATTGTCACTGCAATCTGACTGATTAGGATTTTTATTAGATGGTGTTGGTTTATTCTCTTGCTGGCTCTTTTGACTTGGTTTGCTCTCTGGTTTGGGTTGGGACAGTCGCTGTGAGGGGTGAAGCTCCGTCTGTGGCGTGTTTGAGGAAGAATTCTGCATGTTGCGTTGATGTAGATATCTATCTTTCTGTGTTTGTGCTCGTTGTTTGTTGAGTTGGGCCTGTTTTCTGGCAGCAGCAGCAGCAGCAGCTTGGGGTTTGTGATGAGATTCACCTGCGGAAATAGAAGGATCTACAAAAAGCACAGTGTCAACACAGCTTTCAGACCCCAGTGCACATTGAAACAACACCTAGTGGCACCAAAGGACAACCCCCCCCAAACAACAACGTTGTGGGACAATATACAGGATCAATTGCCATGACTGTAATTCCTTTTACATTTTTGAGACAAGTAGACAGTTGAAAACCAGGGTTAGTGAACACAGGAAATCAGTGACTGTAGGCAATACAAGCTCTGCCATTTCAGACAAGAGGTGGGATTCTCTGAAAACATGTCTCAATCACAGTGGATAAAATGATTGATTTTTACATCACCCCAGAGTACAAGGTTACATGTAGACAACAAGAGGTTAGAGTAGACTATACGGAAAGGTGGCATATAGCAAATAAAAAATAATGTGAACAGAAGTGTGTGTGTGTTTGTGTGTTAATGCTTAGTGTGGTCGTCTGGCATACTGTATATCAGAAAGGGAATTCTTTCCAAGGACAAAAATTTTGTGTGTGAGAGAGAGAGAGAGAAAGGGAGGACGGGATCTAAACATGCAACTGTGTTACGAATGTCAGGAGTATACAGACAGAGAGACGTTATGTGTAGTATGAAAATAAATAACTTATCGGAAACTCGCTTTCTTAAATATAGACTAGAGTCCAGTCGATGCATAATGCAGACGACTCAAATTTCCTTAGACGACGAGTCATAAATATCACCGGTGCAAACTAAAGCGTGACATTATCGCCATAAATTTCACAGTAAACAAGATCACAACTTAGATTATAAAACCCAGGCTGAAATAAAATGGGCTAATATTTACCTTCCTCCAGGGACGTTTGCTGTTTCATTCTCCGAAGCTCTGCATCTGAAAATCCGACCCACCCCGCCATCTTTGAAGGAATGCCACGTCTTTCACGAGATTAGAGCGAGATTTAACGTTTGTGTCAATATTGGTTCTGCTTCTTTATTCATATTTTGTCTCTTCTGCTCAGAAAATTCATGTTAAAGTTTATTAAAGAAATACAGTAATTAGCTTTGCTTTACAACGTAACTTCAAATAGGAATATTGCTTATTATTGGTATGCTTTTGCTTGTATTTAACAAAGGGGGGCGATTGTAATTTATTTAAATTTTTTAAAAACAATTAATAGGCCTATTTAACAAACTCTTCGTATGAGATCTATATTTCACAATAAAAATGAACAACTCATATAAATATAATATATTCTGTTTTACCACAAAAACGGCAATTATAGCTACTGAGATTATTCTGATATCTGAGCATGGCTTTAGACCAAGTGGCCTCCATTGATGGCTACTCTCAACTTCTTAGAAAAAAAAACAGGGACTAACTTTCAATGTAAAAATGGATTCATTACCCATTGGTAAGTGTGGGAAAATTGTTGTTTACTTCAGGAAAATTCATTTTTTGGCCAAAACAGAGTTATTATCCCTTTAAGTCCAGGATCGGCCTCTTAGTCCTTTTTCTTACTGCAGATCCAGGACTACATGGAAGTGGAGGGGGGGGGGGGGGGGGGGGGATCGGAATCGAAACCGGCTTCTCCGCCCCCCCCCCCCCCCAACCCCCCC